GGGTCACGGCGGCTCTCCCGGGCCTCAGGCAACGCGGATCCGCTCCCTCCGCTGAGGTTAAACCCGCAGCGGGCTCTGCCCACCGGTCCGGTGTGAAACTCCACAGGTTTCCATGTTTTACTGCTGCTTTCAGTGCTGGCTGTGGTGGGCTCCGACCCCCGCTGTGGTCAGGCTGGGATGGAGCCTGCACGGCCCCATTGCTCATTCCTGTGTCCCGCATCGCTCCTCACATGGGTGCTTGGCTGTTTATAGCGGTGACAAGAGGAGTTAAGGGCTTTACCGCATCGTGGCCGTGGCTGTCCCCTGGCACAGGCTGTAGGTGACCTTTCTGGGGGGGAATGCAGGGGGCATCTCGGGGGGTCCTGGGGTCCCCGAGAGCCGAGCAGCTTTGCCCAAGTGAGAGCTGTGGGCATGGAGCAGCCCTGTGCCAGGGTGAGACCTGTGTTGTGCCCTCTCAGAAAGGCTTGGGTCATGATTTCATCCACGTTTTGAACAAAAAAACCCCGAAACCTGATCCAACTTTTTTGTTTGCGTAATTCCTCAGCACTCATCTCGGGGGGTCCTGGGGTCCCCGAGAGCCGAGCAGCTTTGCCCAAGTGAGAGCTGTGGGCATGGAGCAGCCCTGTGCCAGGGTGAGACCTGTGTTGTGCCCTCTCAGAAAGGCTTGGGTCATGATTTCATCCACGTTTTGAACAAAAAAACCCCGAAACCTGATCCAACTTTTTTGTTTGCGTAATTCCTCAGCACTATTTGTAATAACTAATAATTAAGCGATAATTCAGTGGGAAAGCGACATCAGGGAGATGCTTTGCTGTCCATAGGCACTGTCTGGGTGGCCAGGCTCTGGCTGCAGAGCTCACCAGCAGTTCCCTGGAGACCCTGCTCCTCCCTGGGGACCTGAGGCTCCCATATGGGGTCTGCCAGGGCCCCCCACACCCCGGTGGCACACTGACCTTGGCAAGGGGGTGACCATTTCGCTGGCATCTTGATTTGTTGCCAGATAGTAGGAGACGTTATAAGGAAACCAAGCTCATGGGCTTACCTGATGTGGGTAATAATCTTTGATCTACATTTGTGTAATAATCTTTGATCTACATTTGTGAAACGCTTTGAGATCTACAGACACAAAGGTCTCTGTGAGGAGCCGGTGTTTATTATTGCAACACTTGAGAGCGATGACTTCCTCCACCTCGGGAAAGTTGTCTGGGCTGGTTCTCCTTCCCTGCCCACCCACTCCCTCCCAGTCCCTTCTTCTGCTGGGTGGAGAAGGAGCTTTAACCGTGGCTGAGGTTCTCTGCTTTCCATTTTGCCTCCAGACTAATCACTGAAGCTTCATCTAGGGGAATGTTATTAAACAGGCTGGTTCTTTTATCGTCAAGAGTGTAAATCTGGAAAAACCTGAAAAAAAGAAGTCCTGCCTGGTAAATGAACAGCAGATTGAAAGCTCTGCCCTGGAGAGGAATGAGCAGATGACTACAGCAGTTTTGGGATTGCTGAGGATCTTTCCACTGTAGGCTGATGTGACACTGATGTAGGGCAGGGTCTGTGCCTCAGCCCTTGCTGTCAGCGTCTTGCAGTGCTGGGCCATATTCTGAGAACAGGCCTGAATTTTGGGTTGATTCAGCAGCTAATGAACATTATAACTCAAAGTTATTGTGCCTCTTTTAAGCTCTAGACCCTGCACAGCTGCCCAGAGCTCCCTTCCCCTGCAGAGGGTTTCCCAAGGTGCGGTTGAGCAGGTAGATGTTCTCCTTGTCTGGTTGGGAGGGAGCTGAGCACCACCATGGCAGGACACGGCTCTTCCTCGCTGGGAAGAAATGTGCTGGGTGCTGAGAGCTGCCTGAGGATCCAGGAGGCCCCATTTCCAGTAAGATGATATCATTTGGGCTTAAGGCTGCTCTGAGGTGGCTTCTGCAAGAACCCAACCAAGTGCAGCGAGATGGTGTGTGCAGCTCATCAGCTGTGAAGACGCTGAGGAAGTGCACCCTGTTGTGTTTTGGGGGAAGGAGGTGCTCACAGGATGCCACTGCAGCCCTGCTTTCTGGTCCAGGGATGCATGCATCAGAGGTGGTTTGGATGGGAATCATGGCAAGAAGGCAGAGGCTGGGGCCGGGTGGTCCTCCTGGTGCATCCAGGGATGCAGTGAGCCAGTGGGACAGCGATTGTCCCCTCTTCACCGCTAACCTCCACTCATTTCTGAAGAAGTCCCTGCTCAGAAGCAGCTTCCAGCTGCTCAGAAGCTCTCGTCAGCCCGGTGGTGCTGGGGACATCCATGGGCTGGGCACCAGCCATGGTCCTGGGGAGCCAACAGCATCTGCTGAGTGCAAGTCACCCTGCCACGGGTGCCTTGGTGACCTGTCACAGCAGAGTCTGAGCACCTCAGTGTTGGGGGACCAAGGTCCCTTGTGGTTCCCCTGAGAACTGAGATCTGGGGAAGCTCAGACATGGAGCAGAGAGTGCCTTGCCCAGGAGGTCCATGGTGGCCCTGGACTCTGCCTCCTCCCCAGTGCAGCGCTTGCCTTTGCTGCTGGGGTGACCTGGTGCTGGCAGCTGCTTGGTGGCCCCACCAGGACAGAGGGGTGGTTGGTAGGTGGCTGTTATTGACGAGGCCATTGCCAAGGACAGGCACATAAATGTGTGAGACCATCAACCATGCAGTGTCTGCTCCATCCTTGTGCTTTCTCTGACCGGTGAATGCTGGGCTCAGCCCTGCAGTGGCAGAGGGGCTCTGGGAGGGAAGAGGCCATCCCATATCCCATGGCAGGATCTCTTCCACCTCTGGTGACCTGGTTCTCCTCTTTGCCTAAGAAGAACTGATCCCAGCCTGTTAGCAGGGGTCCTGTTTTGGCTGCTACGTTGTCAGCTCAAGTGCACAGAGCTCAGCTGTTTGACCAGGGAGCACCTTCTTGTCACAGGCTCAGCTCAATTCAACCTGGCACTTCCAAATTGCAGCAGCAAAAAGCTTTTTTAATGTGTTTTTTCCACCCTGCAGATCTTCCCAGAGGTGCTCCGGGCTTTGCTTTGGGATTCTGCCTATTGAAGCTACCCTTGGTTTTGGGGCTGTCCCCCAGCTTCCCAAGCAGGATGTGCTACACGTCTGCTGGGAGAGCGTGTGTGTGTGGTTGCACCGGTCTTGCTGGGTTCCTCCCAGGTAGATGCGGGTGTATGAAACCAAAGACAGCTGGCAAAAGGATAAATGGGTGATATCAAAGGCTTTTTGTTTATTGATGTGCTGGGGATCTGTCTATGCTGGAGCCCTTGCTGGCAGGAGAAGCGGGATGGCATGGTGGATGAGCAGAAGGATATTTCCATGCCATGGTGGCTTCTTTCCCCAGTGACACAAAGTGATGGGCTGAGCGAGGCACTGGTGCGACGTTGCCTGCATCCCCCTAAGCCTGAGTCCAGCTCCTGTGGCCAAATAGGTGCAAATGTGGCAGCACAGCAGGGTGCACCTCTCCCAGCTCTCACTGCCTTCAAGATGAAGGCTGACTCCTGGCTGCCCTCCTTCCATCCTATCTGTGTGCTCAGCTGAGATGTGTGGAGCAGCAATGTCCCAATGCCACGTACCCCATCCCAGCACTCGCAGCCCTTCGTGCTCCTGCAGCAGGGACCGCGCCAGACCCACGCCAGGCAGCTCCGGCACCCATGGGAGATGGATGTGGCGATGGGTGGGGGTGCCTGGGAGATGCATGAGGAGAGGTTTTTCCACGCTGTTTTCACTTGCCTACCTCCCTGTGCTAGGCTGGGAGCCGGGATCTGAGCTGGTTTGGCTGTGGCCGCAGGGCTGTGTTTCTGGTGGGTTCGGCAGGGCGGGAGGTGCGGGGCTTGGACCCACTCTGCTGCCCAGCCAGGACCTGCTGTTTTGTGCAGGCAGCAGGGGTCCGATCCAGCCTGAAACCTGCGGGTAGGAGCTTAATCTGCAAAAATAGGTTATGCATGGATTTGCACCGACATCATGTGTTTGTAGTAGGTCGGTCTTTTGCGTGGTAGGATGTTGGGATTTTAATGAGATTTTGGAAACCCGACAGGCTGATGTACTTTATGGTTAGCCCTGCCCGTACGAAGATGCAAGCAGGGGCTCGGGCCGGGGCTTTGCTCAGCTGCTCCCTGCC